AAGTTCCGACTTGCCTCGTGCGTCCCGTTTGGGGTGAAGTGTGGAGATTTCTTCATAATTAGGAAATCCACAATGTTAACGTTTTTCTCGGTTATTTCCACATATTTGTTGATCATGTTACAATTCGATTTTTAATAATTGTGGTGGTAATTTTTATGTGGGTAATGAGGAGTGCTTGCAAAAGTACGTTTTTCCATGGGAAATATTAATAGGGATCGTTGCAGAAAAATAAAATATATGTACATACATACGCATGTTTTGCAACATAATTGTGGTGTGTGCTTTAATTTGTAAGTTTTTAATAATTAATGGATATGTTATAAATATTAACTAACAGAAACCAATTTACTGCAATATGTATACATATATGTAGGGTAATGCAATGCTGAAAATGGGGCGGAATAATAAATACGTTTGGTAATGCCGTCTAGACGAAAAGTGTTCGCTAAATTGTTTCCAGTAATTGGCAATTATATAATGTCAGACATGCAAGTGCATACTTACATCCCGACGAGCCTCTATGCAGATCTTCTGCAGATCCGACTGAAAGTTTTTGCAGATTTTGTGCACATTTCACCGCAACAGCTAGTCTGTAACCATAGTGTAGGCAACTTTTACCCAAATGACATCAAAAAAAGATCTGCTCGGAATCTGTAACGTATCTGCTCCCAACACGGACTACCAATCGAACACAGATATACGTGTATCAAATAGTTAAACATTTAGTGTCAATGTTATTTTACCAGAGTCTGTCTAATTGCATTTGTCCAATTGGTGCAAATTTTGTACAGATAAACTTTCAGTGTGTAACACAGATCACAGAGTGCCCAATCTGTGTCTCATTTGCACCCTCAGATTTGCGAACCAACCGCCATTTGTAACACGATACCCACATCACTCGTCTGGCTTGTGCCAACTGAACAGCAATGCGTTTTCTCTCTACTTCCTCCCGTCGTCCAATCAATTTCTGCAATGTCAATTAATAAGAAAATTTTTACCGTGGTTGAATTCAAGATTGATTTGGGTCTAAGTGTAGTCCCCACCAATTGGATTTCTAGCATTGGCGGAATTGATTTGTGTCCCTATCCTGATCCACCGCCAAAGGATTTTTATAAGCTACAATCAAATAAAGATTCTCTTCCAAAGGACGGGTGGACTAATCTGGAAGTGACTTGCGTCAAAACTTCGAGTAAGTTATCCCAACTTAATTCTTCAATTTTCAAGATTCAGTTGCAATGCTTTGGCGAGTTCAAGAAAGGTCTATAAAGTTATTTTAACACTCCCGCAGAAACTTTCGAAGGAAACTGTGGCGAAACTAAAAAGGCTACTGGAAAATAAGCCAATTGACTCCAGCGACGCAGAGGGAGTTAAACGTGGGCGATCGTCGTCCACAAATTTCAATATTGCCGCAGCGCCATTGGCCCCCGCTCAGCCAATATTTGGGGGTATGACCACAAACATTTGAATAAAAAACTCGCATGTAATAAATATGAATTAAATATGTTTTTTAAACTAGTACAAACTGAAATTAACCCTTCTGTTGATGAAATTAATCCCGGAATTGATCATCTTGTGGACACCAATGCAGAAAATAATTCGGTCACCACCAATCTTGAGTACCACTGTCTGCAGGTGGAACCGGATCCACGACTCACAGAATTACTGAATGAATTTCGAAGTAAGTAATTTGCGTATTTATAGTAAACTAATGGCAGTATTTGATGATGATTCTCATTTTAGAATTTCAAGTTGAATCTCTGCGAAACCAAGAACTTTTACTTGAACGTATTCACCAATTGGAGAAAATTGTACTGAATTCTCTAAACTCACAGCAAGGAGCAGCCTGTTCCGCTAAAAATACTTGGAGTTGGCCAATCAAAGACGAAGGCGAGCTAATATCAGTGGAAGTTTGGTTGCGGGATCCGACCAACTACAACCACGAGGTAAAAACTCTATTTACATTAACACTAATTGTAGCATAATACTCATGTGACTACACAATTTAGGTGTCCGTTTTATCAAAAATTGGAGGAGCAACTGTGACAAAGTGCGTATACAATACGCTGCAGTGGATGATATCTCATGAACTTGCTCTTACTCTTCGCTTAACCAACAAAAGCGGGAAAATCTCATTCGGAGACAAATTGATTGCCAAATTAATCCGAGGTTTGTGTTTTCATATTTTAAATTCCATTTGTAATTTACATTTTTCATTTTAGTGTTACTGACTCCATCACTCTGCTTACCATTTTTCAGATTCCGTCAAACGTGGGAACGAGGACGACGACGACGCTACTGATTCTAAAATAAACAATCACATTGGAGCTTGGCTACGTCAGTCAGCCGAACGAGACAAATCCCGAAAAAAGAAAAATGAAATTAACACCGCGCCGGACACAGAAGCGACGAGTGGAGAAGCGGGTGCAGGCGGCGCTGAAGAGAATCCGGGGAACTGAACTAAATGCATCGATCCAACCTGCAAATCTGGAATGTGATTCAGCGGAAGATTTCATTTTAAATGGTGATTGCAATTTCCAAAGCCCAGTCCAGCTAACTATATATGTAGAAAATCACAACATGCCAAAAGTAGTTGATGAATTGAGTGGTACACCCAATAAATTAGTTCAGTTAGGCCACTGGGCTACCCAATTCAATATCAATCATGACGCTTTGAAAAGTCTTTTAAGTTTAGTAAGAAATTGGCTTCCACATGAAGGATTCCCAAAAGATCCTCGAACTCTGCTAAAAACGAAAAGGAAGATAAAAATCCAAGAAATAGAAGGAGGTTCCTTTTATCATTTTGGTATTCGCAGCCATATTTTAAAAGCAATTGAGAATAATAGAATCAGGCTTTCTGCGCATTCTCCTTTGCCCCAACTTCAAAACGTGCCTAATCTTTTAAGCCTTAAAATTGGAATAGATGGCTTGCCAATCTCAAAAAGCTCCAACAAACAATTTTGGCCCATTTTGGGAACAGTAGATCAGGATTTACTTCGTAGGGTATTTATTATAAGTCTTTTTTACGGATCTCAGAAACCACAAAATCTAGAATCTTATTTAGGTCCATTTGTACGAGACATGGTTGATTTAGAGCACCAAGGAATTTGTGCCCGTGGTGTAAATTATTCGGTCAGGACGCGGTGTATTGTAGCGGATGCACCAGCCCGTAGCTTTATTAAACGTATAAACGGACATAATGGCTACTACGGATGTGAACGATGCTATCGTCGAGGAACTTATAAATATTCCAGAATTCTTTATCCAATCAAGCCAGCTTGTGATTCTTACACGGACGAGTCGTTCAAAGAACGATGGTATGAAAGCCATCATAAGCAGGGTCCCCCTTCCCCTTTGGAATTATTAAACCTTGGTATGATTTCCCAGATACCTCTCGATTATATGCATTTGTGTTTGCTCGGGACTATGAAGAAACTTTTACTTGTTTGGACTGAAGGAAAAAAACCCCATAAATTTTCAAGTCTTCAAAAGCAATTAGTCACAAAACAATTAATGAGATTGAGATGCAGAATTCCTTCAGAATTTTCTAGAAAATGTCGCAGTATTTATGAACTGAAACACTGGAAGGCCACAGAGTTTAGACTATTTTTACTATACGTAGGGCCTGTCGTGCTTAAAAAAGTACTTCCAACAGACAAGTATGAACATTTTTTGCTTTTCCATGCAGCCATGCACATATTAGTATCGAATTGTTCGGATAAGCCAGAGTGGGTTTCATATGCAAAAGAACTAATTAATAAGTTTGTACAACTCCTTCCTAAACTGTATTATGCTGAATTTTTGGTGTACAACACACACAGTTTACTACATTTGGCAGATGAGGTCAAACTGCATGGACCTTTGGATAATTTTAGTGCTTTTCAATTTGAAAATTTCATGCAGCCCCTTAAAAGCATGTTACGATCCAAATCAAAGCACCTTAGTCAAGTTGTCAAACGAGTAGGAGAATCAGAGCAATTTCTGTCTCAAACAATTCCGAAACCTAGCCCACGTTGGTCTGTGGGGTCAAGAATTGCTGACCGCTGTTTTATGACAAAAGATAACCGAATTTGTCTTTTGTCTGACGGTAAACAACAGTCAGGAAATTTTAAAGGGTTTTACTTTAAAACTCCTCAAGATGTTAAACTCTATCCTTGTTCAAGTAGAAAACTTGGAATTTCCTTTGTTTCTCATTTGGGTTCGGATTGTTATATTTCTAGTGACTCTTTAGAAAAAAAATGTATTTTGTTACCAATTGATAACAGTGATCAGTATTTTTATTCTATTGTTTTGTGTAATTCATAATATGTTGAAATTACTCATGTGTATGATTTAATTTTAAATTTTGTATAAAGTATTTAGTATTTGAAGTATAAATAAAGAAATTGTGTAATAAATTCTTTACCAATAGACGAGTAACATTTTTGTGTATGTTGGTCTGCATAATATGTTTGCTAGTTCGCATGTACAGATCTGTTGTTATCAGATCTGTATGTGATGTGCAAAGAAAATAATGTAAAGATCTAATACTGCTGCATGCATACTGCAGATTTTCGTTAGTTTGTCTGTACCGTGTCTGCACAAATATTTTCTACCAATTGAGCACCACAAAATTTGCCATATCTGGACTTAAAGTGTACAGATATTTGATTACCCATTGTCTACAAAACTTTCAGTTCTTGGCTCGTCGGGATAAGTTCATTGGGTCCTGATTGGATCCATAACTGCATACGAACATACTGACTTATTTATGTACATATATGTATGCCCATTAATTTTAGGATTAGGATTAGACTTTATTATGTAAGTAGGTAGGGCCAACCGACTGATTAACAGACTATTGATTTTATAGCATCAATGTCCATGTGCTACATAATTACTTTCTGGAACCAAATTATTTCGTTCCACCTTGTTCTTAAAAGGTTAGATACATTTCTAAATAAGCACCATGTACACAACGTCATATCATGCATATTGACATAAATTTTTCTCGGAAGGACCCAATTCAATTGATACATAAACACATTGTATGTATGTATGTACATAAGTATAATGATGCAGCCTTCATATTAAAAAATCTATCAATGTCCAATACCCATTTGTCGTTGAATAATGTTTCATCTTACATAATTGTACTGGTGTCTTATGTACATACATATATGCATTCATGTACATTTGCATTACAGTATGAATACATGCATACATATATGAGTTGTATTTTTAAATATACACATGTGTATATTTGTTATATTTATTTACATATATAAATGTGTTAATAATATGTAACTAAATATTGCAAAAATAGGCAATTTATCCGTCAAGTTGGATGACCCCCCTCTTCGCATAATGTTCCCTCATATCCATCATCACAATGGCAGAGCCCGTTCGAATCGCAGACGCCATGACCGGAACAGTCTCCACCACCACAAAGGTCCCCCAACACTCCCATCACGACCTTGGACTCGACACACTTTTGCGACACGCACATCTTTCCTGGTCCACAAGATGCGCCATCCGGCACCATTCCGGGAGAAATATCGCTCAGGCCGACGTCAACAATGACGCTGCGACACGGATAAATCCTTCCACCTGCGTTGACAAAAAATGAGGCCAGTATGGCGGCAGATTCGTAACTATATTCCAATCTGTCAGTGTCCATTAGACAATGGAGGATGCCACATTTTGAGTTCCTGAAGAGGGAAATCATTGAGAAATGTGAGCAAAATTTGTGTATGTATTAGATTTCTCGCAATCCTTGGCACTCACTCTGTCGCGCATTTAGCATATGTTTTCGTGACTTGGTCGTACCCACAATGAGCGAGCCTTGACCCATTGCTGTTCCTTTGGTAGCAGAGGTCGCTTGATTTATTGCCGGACGGACCCCACAATAATTTACACTGGTCGGTATGAGTCCGACATTCGCCCGAGTAGCAGAACGCCTACGATTAATAATGACGAATTTGTTTGACATCATGGCATCGCTATCTCATCGGTATTTCTTAGTATCATGTATGTATATGTAGGTATGTACCTTTCCATTCGGCGTCTCGCACTCTAACCCATCCAATATTTTTACATCCTCCGGACAAAACTCCGATGTTCCTGTACAAAACTCGGGAAGATCGCAACGCCCGTTTGTTTTGCGACAAGGTGTTCCACCCGTTTTAACGCTACATGTCTGGAAATGAGGTTCGAAGGAATTAAAGTAATTTCCCTGTAGAGTATTCTTTTCTTAGCCAGTTTTATAGTAATGATTTAATGTACACTAAAATATTTAGGTCTGCAATTAGCCTTTAATGTGCTTCCTCCACTGATCTAGCTGTCTCTATTACGTAATGAGTAGTCTGACCACCCTCATATGACACATTGAACTATCCCTCTCCTCGGATCTCAGCGAAATGTCGTGAGTTGCGTATTATCCTAGCTGTCACTAAATTTTTATCGCTCTCACCAGCGTATCACAGCAAGATCCAGATGCACAGGTTGCATTTTCAGCAAATAGACAAGTGGACGCTTCACAACAAGGATTGTCACAATATTCCGGAAGTCCACAATCACACTCTTCGCCCGGTTCAGTGACGCCATTTCCGCACGTGGGACCATTGTATAGACTACATACATATATATTTAATAACCTGTTGTTGAACATGATCATACAGTCTACGGAAAATTTCCCGATGTGGAAATAGATTTTACCTGGTCGGCTTATTTCTGAGACAATGGTCAATCCCGTGCTCGAACGCGTTCGCCATCTCCATTATGCTGCACGAACTCCAATGTGAGGTTGAAATTGGGCTGAAATTTTCAAATTTGATGAGAAACTTTACATATATTTACATACACAACTGATGATAAGTATTTTTAAGACCTTGCTGAAGGGTCCATTATGCATTTCTCATCTTCCGCCGGACAGTCACAGTCCTTCTGGTCATGCGACAGTCCAAAGTTATGACCTATCATGTGAGCCACCCTCGTGGCTACGGTCCCCACCAAATTTATACCGCGGTCAGAACTAACGCCACCGGAATATTTATAGGTACACATCGTGCTCAGCATGGCTTTTCCTATTTGGCCATCTTGTAACTCCACCCCACTAATAAATCAAAAATGCATAAATATTGCAAAAATTATATGTACAACTAGATAATTTTAAATTACGTTAGCAATTGCACATTGTCGTTGGGATGGTCTTTGACCAAGTGTTCTCGTCGATACAGAAGAAATTGCGAGAGGGTCTCATCACCATCGGGGGAAATGGGGATCTCGTCCTTCTCATTCCACACGACCACGCCGACCAACGCGACATAAATGTTGAACGGTTTATACAACGCGTTGACAATGTTGACAACGTCTTTACACCGTTGAACGGAAGCTTTCTCGTCCCCACCGAGATGGCGGTGCGTGGCGAAATCGACGACCATGACGAGTTCAACGTATCGGGGGTTACCCGGGGGGAAGTTAGATTTGGATGAGGCAGATGCAAGACGTTTTATACGAGATGGTGACGTGGAGACATTTTTCGGCGAGGTAGAAGGATTAAGAGTGGCATAAACTGTCGTTCGAAAAAAATGTAATCAGAAGGGCGAAACAGTAGTATTGAAATTCTACCAAAATAGCTAAGTTAAGTTGTAAATTTTTAGCATGAAAACATAAAAAAATGTAAAAAAAACAAAACCGGAGTGCTATAATTAATTAAAACAATGCGTTGTAAGCTAAATGTACATACATACCAGGCGATAATCTTCCTCTGAAGTCGATCCCTTTGTAATGGATCATATCCCAAGAGTGACTACTGCCCGGTTGCAATTTATTGTCTGCCACGACAGGTTCAAGATGGTGGAGTTCATCCTCATCAAATATGACGCCTCTGAATTGAGTTCGTACATATGTTTGAAAATCATCTCATAAACTTAGAACAATTTGTAAGCCTTTAAATCACGGTAAATATTACCTAATTCCGCCATGACACGTTGAAATGGCCACCTGCGAAGTCGGCCGACCCTCCACGACGCCCTGATAATGGCACAGTTCTGCCTCCTACAAAATCGATTTATATAGTATTTATATCGGAGTACATACATACAAAACCAATTTCGTATTGCAGCCTACTTTTCACATACATACTATTAGTAAGTAGGTGTTTACACGTAATATTTTTTTTTAGCTTGAGAATAAAAATTGCACGATTTATCCCAAAAAATTTATAAATGTTGCAAATTTCGTAATATTTCGCAAATTATGTTGATATTCTTAATTTGTGACATGTGTACATAAAAGTTTATGTGAGATCGTCCATTCTTTAGTCAAAACATTCTTCTCCTCGGTTCTCACCTCATACGACGGCACATTCACAACGTAGTTCCCAGATTTTTGAAACTTTTCGAAATAGCCGGACGAGAGTAGACCCCTGTTTAAGGTCAGGTGCAGAACTGTGTGATGCATTGGGTCCGACTCATTTAAGGGAAGCTCCAGTCTCAGCTTTTCTAAGTGACCGTCTCTCCAGTTCTAAATAAGTTGGCAATACAAATAAATAATAAATTTCCAAATTCAAGAATTATCCTGCCAATTTTTCACTCACGGGGTGAGCAGAATTTTCGACAGGGACATGACGCCATGTTCGATGCACCTGAGGAAAAACAGACATAGGATCAGCAACGACGTTAGGGTCCCGATCTGCCATAACTTCTCGCAGTACTCGACCCGTAATCCGACGCGCTTTCGAAAATCCAGTAGCGCTTTGGTAGTGCTGTTTTCCACCTTCGCCTTTAATACATAATTCAGTTTATTGGATTTAAGAATAGTAGTTTTTAGTAGTTTAAAAATATTGATCAATTGTACATTTAACTTTTGTAAATACATAATCTGACTTTTGATGTAAAATTTTAATTTAATAAATCACATCATATTGAAATTTTCAAAGTTAAGTACGATGTTGCAAATGTTAATATTCCTTAAATTTATTTAGTGTTCAATAAATGTGCAGAAACCAGTGCTTACTAACAAGTTGTTAGTAACAACTTGTAGCCGATTTTGAACTAAAATTCAATACTTGACGTATTAATGATAATGTTTTATTTCGAATCGAAACTCGTAACCCATTTATCTACCAAACGTGTACGGCGTGTTTGTCAGGTAAATCTAGCAAATTCGGATGTTTTTTTTACTAAAAAACAATTTGCACAATCTGCAAAATTCCAGAGAACTTCCTGAGTTTAGTTGACATGTTTAATTTTCAATATTTACTAGCTTAAGTACGCCTAATCATAAGTAGTAAATATCATGTGTAAATATCATATATAACTTACCATCATGATGGCAATTCACGAAGATTATTCCACCAAAAACTAAAAGCCATGGGATTGTCGTCTTCCATATCCACACTGGAGATTTGTCACCAAATGAAAGACGACTCATCGTAGTGATTCTTTTACACTAGATTAGATACATATAAAATCATATGAATTATTGATAATACAATCGTGATTTAATAGATATATAAGTCTAATTTTAATTCCTAAAATAAAAAATAAAATATTAAGTACTATTAAATTAAATATCTATCTCTTGATAAGTAAAATTACAAATAATGTAACCAATATTTCAATAATATATCCCGTATGTAAATATACCTTGACAACTACCTCATCTCAAAAATGCAAATCAATTAATTCGGAGACGAGCAAGTAAAAATTTACATATGCTGCGTATCAAATGTGTCACATAAATACACAAAACTAACTAGAAAACTTTTTTATAAAACTGACTATGTACGTAATAGGTACATACGTAATATCCTAAATATGTACGTACCTGTATAGGTACGTAATAACCAGCTCGTTTCCTCTTATATAATTCAGTTCAATTCAATCCTTATTTCTATGGCTGCGATGTAATTTGTAATATGACAAACACATTGTTCTCAGCATCAAATCACACTCCCAGACCAATAAAAAAGCTTTCTATGAATCTTATTGACAAGAAATAGACATTCGCAAAACCTGCATTAGCAAATTCAAGGACGTGTGACCACTTACTTTACCACTTAAGAGGAAAGTTTACTTTCCTCTTAGAACAAGAGTCTTTCGGGCTGGTCGTTTTTAAGAAAATATGTAAATATAATCGACCAACTAACAGTTGACAGTGATATTAGTGATATATCGTACTATCTGAGTACCATCGCGGTGAAACAAGTTTATAGATTTTCTCGCTACCATGTAGTCTGCAGACTAATTACAAAACATTTTTTTAAGACAACTAATCATCCACCAATGGCGTTCCTTACAATCGATAAATTCGCGACGATGAATCAATTGCCAAACCTTCCGTTTTGATCAATGCATCACTGTAAATAGAAGGACGTATGTCAGTCTAGACGTCGACGGAGGGGACCCAGTAGTTTTATGAGCACTCCCATCCCTAAAAAGACGGAAAGGCCCATTCATTTTGAGCGAGGGGAATGGGCATATACGTCCCTCACTTGAAAATAAATAAAATAAAATCTTGGATGGGAAGACCCATTCCTTTTCAGTGAGAGGAATGGGCATATACGTCCCTGGTTTTTTGAAAATGTACGTTTTCTGCTGATTTTTTCGTGAAATTTCAAAATTTAAAAAAGCGCACCGGGGCAAAAAATTCATAATTCTACACTTAATTTTATAAAAATTTAAAAAAAATATTCCCCGCTGCGAAAAAAAGTTATCTTGTTATAATTGGTTGCTGACGCCTACCTCACCGCGAATGGGAATGCATGCATGCCCACGAACTACGTGAAACGCAGCACTTTAAGCGTAATATGTCACCTCCAACCAGGGGGTGGTTATATATATGTGTATATATGCTAAATTCAACACATTATTGGAAGTCACCTTCAAATCTCTTGGAATCATTTTTTAGCAACACGAAACATGCGTATTAATGTAAATTTACAATTTCATTCTCTTATTGCAACAAATTCCACGATTTTGCTATGTTAAGTACCCCCAATGAGAGACCCTCAAGTACTACCAGCAAATACAAATAGCCAACACGTGTCAAAAACCAACGGGTCATACATAAGATAAGCATCATTTAGTTCGCCGGATAAATATAAAAAATAATGGCAAGCACAAACCCGACCCCACCAATTTGCTCTAGCGTTGTTCACCACATAGCGGTGGTAAGATTTCCAGACATTGACAGTCAGAATTTAGTGCAAATTGGTGGAACATGTGACGTCGACAAATCAATTAAAAGTGCTTTTTATACTAAAAACTATCTACGATATGCACACTGGTCTTCGTAGTGCGTATATTGCATTAGTCAAGTCCGAACTCGAACCGATTGTTGTTCACAAAGTTGTGAACTTTATAAATGGCATAAGCTTCGTCACTTTGCATTTTAAAACCAGTCTTGAATATGCCGCAAGCGTAAAAAGAATGGGATTACTTGCAAATACAATTGGTTAGGTTTTCCCTAACATTACCATTCAACAAAATTATGACGTATCTGTTGATCTAACTTTGTGGGCAACTGTTAAAGAACTTTCACCTGCTTTTATTTAAATTACAGTCATATTGCTTATAACCTTTCTGCCCAAAAAGTCCTGTTTTAATAGGAATCGAGCGTGCACGCGCTCTTCCCAACTTTTGCACGAAATTTTAAACTTTGTCCTAGAGATGCGAAATTTGGCATGCACATGCACCAACATATGCTACATCATAATATAACATCAATTCCCGTTCCGTTCGCTATAAATTTTTCAGGAAAAATCAAAAACCAAATGTCACCCGTATTCAATTTGGTTTTTGATTTTTCCTGAAAAATTTATAGCGAACGGAACGGGAATTGATGTTATATAATGATGTAGCATATGTTGGTGCATGTGCATGCCAAATTTCGCATCTCTAGGACAAAGTTTAAAATTTCGTGCAAAAGTTGGGAAGAGCGCGTGCACGCTCGATTCCTATCAAAACAGGACTTTTTGGGCAGAAAGGTTATAACCAATATGACTGTAGCTGTGGCGCATTGTGTCTTTGCCTATTCTTTTCGACATTGTTCACAGATAAAATATTAAGCATTCGTGAAGATATTTATTTTTGGTTTTACGACATTAACAATCAGGAGTCAAGTGAGGAGGAAAACGAAGATGACAGCGATGACCGCGAGGAATAAAACGACTAAATATTTCCCATTATCTATATTATATTTTACTTACATTTGCATCATATTATATTAAATTTTGTAATTTTGCACCTTGTTATACCGATGCATCTACAGAGTTGGAGATATTAAATGTTTCTGATTTACAAATCAGAAAAACGTTAATTTCAAATTGCAAAAAATTTATCGAAGTTGTAATAAGTTCGTAATTAGCATGCAATTAGCTGCATAATTACTGGACTAATTTTTTGGAGAACACTTAAAATTGACCACCTATGCGCGCGTGCTAGCTTTTCCCTCTTGGAGGAGAATTGCCAATTTAGCAGTAACTCGATTCGAGGGATGGGCGCGCTCACTACGAGGGATGGGCATTTCCGTCTGCTTAGGGATGGGAGTGCCCATAAAACTACTGGGTCCCCTCCGTCGACGTCTAGACTGTATGTACCACAAACGTGGTTGCTGGAAGTTCCCACTTTTGCGAATTTTGCATGCCCAACAGGAAACGACACGAAGAGGAATGAACTAGAATTTTGTTACAATATGGACTTATTTGTAGGCAAGTTACAAATTTATTTTTTAATCACAATATCAGATAGCTTATTTGACATACGTATGTACACAGGTTACATTTAATAGACGATGGTCAACTGGAATCGGGATTGACCACTTCCTTTGGTCTAACCTGGTTTAGAGTTTATTTGGAAAATAACATTCACCTGTATACATGCTTATAGATTCAGTTCTCGTCTGCTCTGTGCAACAAATGTGTATGAACAGTAGCGTTCGTTATGCATGAAAATTATTGCATGTTAAACATATTTATATGACATTGCGAAAATCATAATATGAAACTTATCCATTATTATATGCATTATTATATCTGCATTATTATCCATTATTATATGAATACAACTATTACCTGCAAATGTATACGTGTGGATATGTATACGTGTAGAAGCCAGTCATTTTACTGGAATACGACTTCGCAAATCTCACAAATCATGTATTTTCATGGTGTTTCCCATGTATTTCATCATGTATTCTCATGTATTTTGATGGTGTTTCCCAAACTGTGGTAATTTCTCTCGCCGGTGATGGTAAGGATGAGTTTGAGAAATAACTTTGAGAAATTAAAACATGCCCATTTGGTGGATAATTTTTTCGTGATCTCTTTCCCTCCGTGCGATAGTTAAAGCAAAGCTGCTTCTAATGAAATTGAGAGTATTTATGAAGATTTCGCATCGTTGGAAATAGCAACGTTAGCAGAAAAATATATGAATGTATGTACATATTTATGTAGGTATGCTTTTCAGTATTTCATTAACAAAACACTTATTTATTTATTACCAATATTTTCCTGTTATGGCCCTGAAATGGTTTGTTTACTCTGTCATTTTAAAATTAGTTTTCGTTAATTCTTGTTTATAACTTATGACCTAAATAAAAGTCACAAATCCTCCAGATTTTTTCGTTCAAGGTCCTCGACATCCTAATGAAAACTTCATTAAACATAAATAATCCTTGGCTGCTAACCAATCCATCCCAGAGTGTCCATGACATCCACCTTTACTAATCCTAGCAATAATTTTTATCACATGTAGGTAACAGGTAGGTAATTGGGTCAAGTAATGACGCATTATACTTACGAGGTACAAGAAGCTATCTATATATTCAGTGAAATTGAAAAATAACCTCCATCCATAGCAAAATGATGTCTACATATATTCCTACAAAATATTTAGTTGATTTTGCTGTACCAGTGGCAGCAGCAAGCGTTAGTCACTCAGCGCAGAATATCTGGACATCCAGGTTATGGTTTGTTCAGAATTAATGAACGATCTGCCAAATGTTACGCCCAGCAAATGGCTGGGCTTTCCGTGAAAATTTCAAATTCTGCATATGCGGTTGGACAAGTGTCAAGAATTATAGATCAGAATATACGCATCCTTGGTGGGATCTTTACATGAGCATACATATGTATGCATATCACCACCCTCTAAGATTCGAGTGACTGAACAAAGTTTTGAGTTTTGTTTCCCATAATTTAACGCAGTAATAAATTAGGGGTTAACATTGCATTCTATGTATTTATATATAACTAGCGTATAGCCCGGCCAAGGCCGGGTTCTAGAGTTCCAGTGGGGGGTGTGCCCAAAGCGAAAAATCCGGCATACTATACTTTAAATAATTCCCAGTGGAGACTTTGTCATAGTACATAGTATGTACTACATACATGCATCAGATTCAGAGTGAGCGTTTTCCCAAGTCATACTGCATTTTAATTAACCTGGTCAAACTGCAATTTGATTTCCCCCTGTGGGAGTAGTTGAATAGCTAATTACTTACCTTCCCGTCGCGTGGGAGTAACTGCATATCTAACTATTTAAATTCCCACGCTTCACGCTCCCGTTAAGTTCCATAAACCCCGTTAACTTCTACAATTAACGCCAAGCTATTGACGGCGTTGGATTCAGCGTCAAAAATACATTCGAATTGATATGCCACTCGCTGTGGGTGGAGTTTCTCAAACTAAAATAATTAATTAATAGTGTTTATCAAGATCACTTATCATGATAACCACTATTGATGAGTTATGTATACTGCTCACTCACTCAATTTACTTGCACGCTGTGTTTATATACAAAGGCATTTAATTTGAGATTGATGGCAAGTGTACGTACGTGAAAGTCACGTGAAGTTCAGACTCATGCAGTAGGGAGCAGCATTTTCATGCATGCAATTCACTCCGCGTCCTTCTTTGTCTTCTCTACGGGGTAACTTGGACTCGATCACAGAGTCAGGCAGGCAGGGAATACGCTGG